AGAATCACCTCCTTAAAAATTATTGAGAAATTGTCCAAATACAAGGACCCGGAGATCGAAATTAACAGGATGTGAGGAGTGAAAACTGAAACTTTACCAATAGGAATCGGAGCTCTGGACCTCGTGAGAAAAAGAATTGACAATTTTACTAACAGTGTCCCAGGTACAAGTTGCCCAGAAGACCGCCTTACTAGAAATACCCCAGTATCTGTCTATATTTCAAGGACACATGGCACAGTGGATAAAGGCGTTGGTTAGATCCAGTGATAGGACCCAAAGAGTGTGAGTTCAATACCCGGCTAAGGCAGTGGAGAACTTTCAGAGGGAAAATTAACAGGAGATAACTGATAATTGACATCCAAGGATACATGGCACAGTGGATAAAGGCGTTGGTTAGATCCAGTGACAGGACCCAAAGAGTGTGAGTTCAATAGTGGAGAACTTTCAAAGGGAAAATTAACAGGAGGTAACTGATAATTGACATCCATTAAACATGGCACGTGGAACTAGAACGGTTTACCCCAGTGAGCGAAATAAAGGGTTCAGTTCGACATTCTAACCACCTGAAGAAGGCTGAAGCGTACAACGGCCGAAATGTTGTAATAAATATGGCGACATAGATGACGACAATAATCCGAATAATGTAAATAAGGAATATCCCATATACTAAGAAAAGTGTTATCAATTAAATGGCAATTCCCCTATAGGGCCTAAGGACCATAGTTTGGACCCGGCTCTACAGGATGCAAAGCAGGAAACATAACATACACAAATAATAATAATAAAATTGAAAATTTTGTATCATAAAACTACTGCTGCACCTATAATATTTGGAGCACGAGGTACGACCAAATGGTACAGGCAGAAACATTAAATTCCCTGGCAGACCCTGTTTACAAAAGATCTAAAAACATTGTACCGTATAAAACTACTTATTTACTCAGGAATGTATTATCAATAACAGGAAAAAATAAAAAAGTGTGTACTTTTTTTTTAAATATAAACAATTTACATCAATTAATATCAGAATTTGTACCAACAGAAAAAAAAACATCACATCACAGAGTGATTTCTGTTAGCACAAAACAATTCAAAAGTTTTATCTTGAAGAATGCAATTCGTAGTCCAACATGTAAATTAATAAAAATAGTGCGAAGATCACATTTGCCCTCATCCCAATAATAATTGTCCGATTTTTGTAGGCTTGTGTGTTTGTAACATGTCGAGGCTTTTAGCAGAGCAAAACTTAAAAGGTTCTTTGAAAATAAACCAATTTCCTGTCGAATCTGAAACTTAGTCATACTAACAACAACAACAACGATAATTGCTACCAGATAAAAAAATATATTTCGGTTAAAAAATATGTTTAAGTATAAGTAAATATAAGGCTATGATGGTTATATCTATAATAATTGAAGCCTTTGGTTACCATCAAAAAATGGTACCGACAAGAACAGTCACAAGATCCCTGACAGCTCCTGTTGACAAGAGATTTAAAGAATATTGTCACGTTTGGAATTACTCATCTACCGAGGAGTGTATTATCAACACATGAAAATATAAACACTGAGTACAGGTTAAGTGTCACTTAACACGAGAATTTGTGCAAACAGAAAGCACCTATTTACGGCCTTGCCTTACTCAAGGTCTCAGGTCGTGAAATAAAGAAGTAAAAAAACGAAAACACTTTTGATACGCCCCAATAATAATAATAATAATAATAATAATAATACATACATACATACATACATACATACATACATACTGATTAAAAGTCTACCCAATAATAATATTACACAGTGATTAAAAAACGAAAACACTTTTGATACGCCCCAATAATAATACATAGTGATTAAAAATCTACAAGTAAATGAAAAAAAAGTCCTTCTTATATTTATGGCAATGACATCAAATAAAAATACTGATAAAATAAATCAATCTAAGTATCTAGAAATTGAAAAAAAAGGTGGCGCCTTAAAACTATTATTAGACCTCAAATAATTGGAGTCCTGGGCATGATCAAAACTGGCTCAGACAAGAACATTAAAAAGAAAAGCAAAAACGAATAGGCTATTTTCCCGGTCCCGGTAAAATAGACAAACATGGTTTTAAGCTTATTTTACCGGTGTCGGTAAAATAGACACCAGGATATTTTGCCGGCAAATATTTTTTTTTTATTATTATGAAAGGAAGTAATGTTAAAAATAGAGGAGGCACGGTGGCGGAATCAGAGAGCCGAGTTCGAATTCCACTTGAATCCATTACATTCACTTACGTGGTGATACCCTTGGAAAAGGTATGAATCCTTTTCTTCTCCCAACCAGCTATGAGTAAATAGCAGGACAGACCGGGTTCTATAGTCTTGGATGGCAACTGGTCTACCGCAGAAAGACATGGCAACCTACTGCGGGAAAAAGGAGTAATGGATAGCGGCTTGGATTAAGGAATCGGAGAACCGAGTTCAAATTCCAGTCGAATCCATTACATTCACTTACGTGCTAATACCCTTGGGAAAGGTATGAATCCTCCTCTTTTCCTCCCGACCACAGCTATGGGTAAATAGCAGGGCAGACTGGGTTCTAGAGCCTTGGATGGCAATGGGTCTGAATTCAAAACCATCCTGGGAATCGTTGGGATCTTTCTCTGCAAACACCACTTCTCTTGTAAATTCGCGAATGTTAAATATAACATCGCACAGATTTAATAGATGAGTATATTTATTTTCACTATTACGTTTATGGAGCCTTGAGATTGTCAGCGAGATGCTTGTGTGAGCTGTGTCGTCATGACTTGAACAAAATATCTTCGGTGGGTGCACCTGAAGAGTATTGGCAGGAGAATCATGACCAAGGCCAAGTTTTCGATTTACAGAGACTGTTATCTCTGAAGTGCTTAACATTTTCAGAGACTTCCATATTTCTTTTAATAATTGAGGATAAATAAATTATTTTAATTTGTGCTTTAACAATGGATGGCGGAAAAGATTTGAAATTGTCTTAACAATTGATGGTGAAAATAAAAAAAAAACTTCTGTGCGAAATCTGTTTGTTGTCATTTTATGATAATAAATTTCATGGTAATAAAAATATTTACCCGCAAAATAGCCTGGGGTCTATTTTACCGAGATAAGCTTAAAATAAACTTAAAAGCATGTTTGTCTATTTTACCGGGACAATTAAAATAGAGGCTATTTCCTCAAAAAATAAAATAAAAATCGCTAATAGACCCTGTTTGCAAGAGATTCAAAACGATTGTTTATCTCACAAGAAGTGTACAATAGATGTACAGCAATTATAAACAGTTTGACCATGCTAACTATCACAAACAGCAGAATTTTAACAGACACAAGGAATATATTTACGACCTTACGTTACCGAGGGTCTCGGACAATAGCCAGGTCATAATAATAATAATAATAATAATAAGAAGAAGAATACACGCAGACATAACAATCAAAGCTAATCGCCCAGACATCGTGATTAGATACCACAAAGACAAAAAGTGCCTCCTTATTGATATAGCAGTCCCTTCAGTCTGCTATGTATCTTTGAAGATCTTAAAAAAAAAACTATCAAAATACAAGGACCTTGAAAACGAAATCTCAAAAATGTGACACATGATGACATCAACAATTTCAGTTGTAGTTGGAGCCCTCGGATTGATTGGAAAATAGATTCTGATAGACTCATTAAAGGAATCCCTGTTAGCCCATGTCTTAAAAAATACAAAAAAAAATATTCTCTCAAGTACAGCTGACACCTTACAAAGGGCTTTATCTATACAAAAACAGAATGTGCTTTCTTATTGACATGCCAGTCCATGCCGATGGTCATGTATCTTTGAGGATCTTCAAAAAAAACTATCAAAATAGAAGGGCCTTGAAAACGAAATCTCAAAAATGTGGCGCATGAAGACATCGACAATTTCAGTTGTAGTTGGAGCCCTCAGATTGATTTGAAAAGGTTCCGATAAATTCATTGAAGGGCTTCCTTGTAGACCATGTCTTAAAGAAATACAAAAATTGTACTCACAGCAAGTACGGCTCACACATTACGAACTTTATCGATGTAAAATGTGTGGGATCTTAGTGTTTTTTTTTTTTTTGTTTTTTTTTTTAACAATCAGTGGAAAATGTCATTTCTGACCTTAGGTGTCTAGTTAGGTCCCTTCTGGGTCCCAACTAGAGACCTAAGGTCAGAAATGACTAAGAAATCTAAGGAAATACTAGTATTACTACTACTACTACTACTAATAATAATAATACGGTGTTGGCACCCACTGTTGTACGATGTTGGCACCCACTGAATATAAAACCCGACATGACAGGGCCAATATCTGCACTGGAAAATCTGCAACTTCTACGGGAAGGAAACTGAAAGAAACTGGTATGAACACCACCCAGACCCGGTTACGGAGATAGGACCTGTTACAATTCTATGGGACTACACAATACACACTGACAGAACAATCAAAGCCAACCGGCCAGATATTGTTATTAAAGACCACAAACAAAAATGATGCCTCCTTATTGATATGGCAGTCCCTGCTGACTGCAATGTATCTTTGAAGATATTCAAAAAGTTGGCAAAGTACAAGGACCTTGTAATAGAAATCTCGAAAATGTGGCATATGGGAACATCAACAATCCCTGTTGTAGTTGGAGCCCTAGGACTGGTTGGAAAAGATTGCAGTAGACTAATTGAAGGGATTCCTGGAAGTCCATGCCTCAAGGAGATACAAAAAATTGTTCTGACAAGTACAGCCCACACCTTACGAAGGGCTTTATCTATGTAATTTAATATTTTTTTTTTTTTTTTTTTTGGTCAGTGGAAAGTGTCATGACGCCATTTCTAACCTTAGGTCCCTGGGCGGGACCCGGAAAGAAATGTGTAAACGCCAGAAATCAAAGAAAATAATAATAATAATAATAATAATAATAAGAAGAAGAAGAAGAAGAAGATGAACAACAACAACAACAACAACAACAACATTTCACCTACCTTTTGTAAAAGAATGCTGCCGGTCTATAAAATGGTATTCAACTATCGGTTTCGCTGCATAAGGTAACGTATATATTTGTCCTAGTGGGTGAGTATGTGCCGGGTGGTGGTGGTAGCTGTGTACATTGGCATTGTTGATGTATGTTGGGGGAGGCAGTAGAGCCGGGTGGTCGTAGATGGGTAACGGTTTACAAATGGAAGAGGGGGGAGTTGTTTGAACCAAGGCCGGGTTAAAGGGTGTAGGCCTTGTCGGATGATGATGATGATGGTGATGGTGTGGAGGAGGAGGAGGAGGCGAGCCGGGGTTCGAATGGCGACCTCCGCAGTCATTATGGCTAACACAATTGCTGTTGTTACTGCTGCTAACGCCATTGCAAGTGTTGACGGAATTATTTGATGTGGAATTGTTTTTCTTGTTGTTTTTGCCGAGGATGTCGTCGATGAAAAAAGAGGTGTGCCCACTACCCGACCCCAGGGTTTGAGCGGTTTTGCTGCAACCGACGCCCGGAATGGGGACGTTGGTGGTTAGAATACCCAGGGTCCCGTTTCCCATGAAGTTAGCAGCGTCTGTTGCGAGGTTTGGGGCGAAGGTATGCAGATGCGCATGTCCGTGCATTTGGAAAGCTGCGTACGGTTCTAAGCTTACTGAACAAGGGGAATTTGATAGCATTCTGGTTTGTAAAACCAATGGCGTCGCTTTAGTTTGATGACAAAAAAAAACGAAAAAGAAAGCAGCAATAAAACAAAAGAAAGTTATATTATTTGCACCTTAAGATGTTTTCGCATTCCCGAATTAACTATCTATAAAATCACAGGCTCTTAATTGACGCCATTTTAAACACTCGAATGATATCGTCTCGGAAGCATCGACTTATTTAAAACCTCCATCAGTAAACAAAGACTGAACATTCGCTTATCCGATTACTTAATAATGATTCTTTATTTATATCAAAGGTTAATTTCTATGTCAATAAACGCATTGTTAATTTTGGGGATAGATTATTGAGAAACCGAACTTTATAATCGTTATTTGAAGCAATTTGTTTATGTAATCGAAGTATTAACAATTAGTTTTACATTGTGACAGTACAAAAACACTTATCAAAGTTAATGACTATAACAAATTCAAAGGTTAAAATAATAATTATTTTTCAATATAACAATAACAGCTTAATTAAAAAAAGTAAGACTAATACAGATTCAACAATTTTATCTATATTCCCATATTATTTACCTCATCATTATATATATATATATATATATATATATATATATATATATATATATATATATATATCAAAATGTTGACTTTAGCGGTATGTCAATAATTGTTCATCCACTCCTCCTTATGAAGATGATTCGCTGATCCAAATAAACGCGCATAACTTTCTGTAAGGCACAAGGCCAAGCAAGAGTGAATACTGTTAGAAAGACAGTCTTACGCCAATTGTTGGGTGGGTTTGCTTGCCTTTAAAATCAGCATTCAAAATCCAGGTTTTTAACCTCGGCTCGAACAGTACGTAAATTTGGCTATTCGAGAAGGTTATTATCAAATCAGCTCGTAGAAAAAATAAATAAATAAATAAAACCCTATTCGTTTGATATCATCACTGTCGATGGGTTTTTGTGGCCTTTATTTTGCTAAGCTTAACTTAGTCAGGTGCTTCTGGAAATTCCCAGTGAGAGTCAAACTCACTCTCCGAGCGTCATTTTTTTTTTTTTTGTAGGATCCCGAGTAGAGATGTTGGGGGCTAGTTTTTTTCTCTCTCCCTAAATACGTGAAATAAACGAAATTATCTTAAATTAAAATAAAAAAAAATTAGCCATTAATAACTTAAGAAAAAAAAACATGTAGCAACTTCTCCATTCTAAGCGTTATTATTCATAAACTAGAAAATTGTGTTGTTTTTTTAAAAAAAAATTTTGTTATTAAATGGCTTTATTTTGACTATTTTCAAATAATTGTATCATGTAAATATTAAAAATATTTACGTCTCTTTATGTTTCCATTTATTCCCCGACTTTTCTGACATTAACGAATATATTTTTGTCAAAAGTCGAATGGGGAAAAAAACTTTTTTTTACATTTTTTTTTTCTCTCTAAAAAAGTTACCTTTTTGTCAAAATTTCTTCTCGAATGATTCCCTTCACGTTTAATAAAACCTGAATCGTTGTAAGAAATTGTCTTATTCCTTCGAATAAACACCGGAATATGTTAAATATTTTTGTTTTAATAAAGTGTCCGTTTAATTTTCATATTTTTTTTTATCGACAGTTTTCAAATTGTAAAGTCCAGCTGGTGTTTGACATCATCAGAATTACGAATTTTTTTTTCTGTTTAGTTTAATATTGTTTTTTTGTGTTTTTGCTTCCTTTTCTTAAGCCGTCAAAATAACTTTCAAATATAAAATATTAAATTATTAAAAATGTTCAAATATATTTTTCGTTTTCTTTTTCTCTTTCCCGCTCTCTCTGTCAAAGAAGAAAAAAAGAGTCGTATTCGTAAAACACGAAATCAAAATACAGTTGTTTTCTTTTTTTTAAAAAAAAACACTTCAGTTATTCCAAGAATTTCTTTGCTGGTTCTCTTCCTGAGTTTGTGATTTCAAAAATAAAAAAAGATAAATAAGTTAAATTATCCGCCTTTTTTTTTCACTCAGTCGCATATCTGCTCGATGGACAACAACGATCCATCATCCATTTTTGTGACGGTCTGTGCCTTCAATAGGAAAATCTAGTACCTCCCTTGTTCGATGGTATCACACACACTCGGACTTCTGGCCTGACAGTTACGACAAGCAGCAGAATCAGTTATGACCCACAAAGGCTCGTTGTGTTTATTGTAAACTAATTCCACGCCTCTCACGGTCGTCTGCTTTCTTTCTTTCAGAAAACGATTGGTCAATTAAGGGAATGTCCAACAGTGTTGAGTGTCTCTATACGCTCTATAGCAGCCGCTTCACTCGTTTACGACACTTTATTTGCAACGTATCTTGAATAGGATCTGTGAGTGGATTAAGAAAGAAAGAAAGAAAGAAAGAAAGAAATATAAACTTATGGAATAGGCAATAAGAAAGAAAGAAAGAAAGAAAGAAAGAAAGAAAGAAAGAAATATAAATTTATGGAATAGGCAATAAGAAAGAAAGAAAAAAAAAAGAAAGAAAGAAAGAAAGAACGAAAGAAAGAAAGAAAAGAAAGAAAGAAATATAAACTTATGGAATAGGCAATAAGAAAGAAAGAAAGAAAGAAAGAAAAAAAAGAAAGAAAGAAAGAAAAGAAAGAAAGAAATATAAACTTATGGAATAGGCAAAGAAAGAAAGAAAGAAAAAAGAAAGAAAGAAACAAAAAAAGAAATATAAATTTATGGAATAGGCAATAAGAAAGAAAGAAAGAAAGAAAGAAAGAAAGAAAGAAAGAAAGAAAGAAAGAAAGAAAGAAAGAAAGAAATATAAACTTATGGAATAGGCAATAGGAAAGAAAGAAAGAAAGAAAGAAAGAAAGAAAGAAAGAAAGAAAGAAAGAAAGAAAGAAAGAAAGAAATATAAACTTATGAATAGGCAATAAGAAAGAAAGAAAGAAAGAAAGAAAGAAAGAAAGAAAGAAAGAAATATAAACTTATGGAATAGGCAATAAGAAAGAAAAATAGAAAGAAAGAAAGAAAGAAAAAGAAAGAAAGAAAGAAAGAAAGAAAGAAAGAAAGAAAGAAAGAAAGAAAGAAAGAAAGAAAGAAAGAAAGAAAGAAAGAAATATAAACTTATGGAATAGGCAATAAGAAAGAAAGAAAGAAAGAAAGAAAGAAAGAAAGAAAGAAAGAAAGAAAGAAAGAAAGAAAGAAAGAAAAAAGAAAGAAAGTAAGAAAGAAAGAAATATAAACTTATGGAATATAAGAAAGAAAGAAAGAAAGAAAGAAAGAAAGAAAGAAAGAAAGAAAGAATGAAAGAAAGAAAGAAAAAACTTAGAAATAAAAAGAAAACGAAAGCTTTAAAAGAGGGCAAGAAAGAATGAAAAAGCTTAGAAAGAATGAATGAATGAGGTACAGGAAGACATGAGAAAGAAAAAAGAAAGAAAGCATGAAAGACATACAGGAAAGCATTTGAACGAAAGAAAGAAAGAAAGAAAGAAAGAAAGAAAGAAAGAAAGAAAGAAAGAAAGAAAGAATGAAAGATAAAAAGAAAATGCTTAAAAATAAAAATAAAACGAAAGCTTAAAAGAAAGCAAGAAAGAATGAAAAAATTTAGAAAGAAAGAAAGAAAGAAAATGCTTAGAAATAAAAAGAAAGCTTTAAAAGAGAGAAAGAAAGAATGAAAATACTTAGAAAGAAAGAAACAAACAAAAAGAAAAGAAAAGAAAAAGTGAAAAAAATGAAAATAAGGAAAAACTAAAAAGCAAAAGCTGACACAGAATGAAAGACGTATGCGGTTGGAAAAAAAAAAGAATCAAACAAAAAAAGGAGGTAAAAAGTAAAAAACCCCAGAAAGTTTAGAATGAAAAAAATAAAATAAAATAAAGGCTTAAAAAATGGAAAAATGTTTTGGAAAAAAAAACTAAAAAAAAACACAAAATGTTTAAAGAGAAAAAAAAAACAAAGAAAAATACTTAGAATAAAGGAAAAATTTAGAAAAAAAGAACGAAAGAAAAAAGAACTTAGAAAGAAAGAAAGAAAAAAGAAAACAAAAGTGAGCAAGAAAGAATAAAAAAAGAAAGAAAGAAAGAAAGAAAAAGTTTAGAAAGAAAAAAGAAAGAGAATAAAGAAAACGCTTAGAAACAAAGAAAACGTTTAGAAAGAAAGAAAGAGAGAAAGAAAGGGTGAAAGAAAGAGAGAAAGAAAAAAAGAAATCACGAAGAGACAAGCCTAAAACAAAAAATAATCCACAATTGTGAATATTACACCCTGCACAAGTATAATCAACCCGCGAAACATGAAATGACTGTAAGCGCCCTTTGTAGATATTATTTTACCCAGTTTAATCTGGCACAAGGCCACTAAACAGGAGCACCTAATGAGAAGAGAACTCACACAAGGAACTAACGAAACTGCTTTGATAACTATTGATCTCGTGGGGATCACATTTATTGCCCTAGCAAAACAACTTGTATTCGATTAAAAAACTTACTCAGGATTACCATTTCGGGCACCCGGTGAGGATCGAACTTACTAAAATAGTTTAGATTTCTTTATAAATCATATCTTTTTAGTTCAAAAACCCAAAAATAAGAATATTTTTTTCAATATTTTAATGAATTCTTGGAGACCAAATTTATAGTTTTTTGTGTAAGACTTTTCTATGAAAGCGCACTTTTTAATAATAATAATAATAATAATAATAATAATATATATATATATATTATATATATATATATATATATATATATATATATATATATATATATATATATTCAGTTGAATGTATATTAGTTTGTGAGCCTGGATTTCCATAAAACTGAATGTTTTAGCTCGATCACTGAAGTGATATTAAGCATTTTCCACTAAGTACTAAAGAAAAAAGTCACAGGGTGTTAAGTCAAAACTCCTGGCTAACCACTCATACATAAAATAGGGAGTTACTTTTCAATCACTCTGTATGTATGTATGCAAATGTATATATATATATATATATATATATATATATATATATATAGTCATCAACAGACAGACTGCTTCACTGTATC